CCCCCACCATTGCCATCAGCGGTTAGGTATCCATTCTAGGGTATCGATCATGAAACTTTTTTCCTAGGATGAAAAGTGAAAAGTGACAAATTTCTCCATTAACTTCAATGGTTAAAATTTTCACTTTTCACTTTCCATCCTAAGGATAAACTTTCATGATTGATAATCTGATGTCGATGTAGCGCGCTGTTCAAACGCAACCGTAATTGCATCCTGACGGGGTGATCCCGATTGATCACGGCTCGATTGGATACCATCAATCACAGCGACCAGTGCCTAGGAGCTTTGTAATCTCAAGCGCTGTGAGTGGCTCGTGTCCAATTGAGCCGTGTCCAACTGGGTGCCACCACTTGGGGAGCATGTGTGTTTTTTTAAGTCTCTACGCGTATGCGTACAATCTAGCTGCTAAATAGTTTATTAATGTTGTATAATTTTTTTAAACGTAATTGCATCCTGACGCTCCCATGTAATTGCACCTTAAACTAGACTCATGGCGTCTCCCGCCCAAACCTAGGAACTTTTTGTAATCGCCAACCTGCATGTTATACAAATGTCGCTTTTGCGGGCTCTGCAGGCTCTGCTAACAAATCGGTCGAATGTTTTCATTGCGTTTGACGTCGGAGTCTCCCATGCCCGATCGTGTTTTGGAGTAACATTACGAATGATACGCACGTCAGACTTCTCATCACATCATGTACATTAAGCAGGTTTGTAAGCAAATCGTATTTGTGTCGCAACCTAACGTCATTCTTGAGACGGAGTTACGCTTCGTCTTTTCTTTATTTGACTTTACCCACCTTTTTTGCATTGCTTCCATTCTAATTCTTGATTAGATTATTATTGAGGTTTTATATGCATGAATTGTACGTTACTATCGAATTTCTGAAGCTAATATACTAATTCGGAGCATCAATACATTGTTATTATTGCAATTTCTTTGATGGGTTTATGTTGAAACAGGTAATTATCCAAGGATTTAAGTCGTATCGTGAACAGACAGTTGTCGAGCCTTTTGATCCAAGACACAATGTAGTGGGTATGTAACTGATGATCTTGTGCAGAATTGATATGCAGTTAATAAGATTGATATTGTTATACATATACATTGTAACTGAACACTTTTCTTCTAAGTTGGCAGAAATGGTTCTGGAAAGAGTAACTTCTTTTACGCGATTCAATTTGTCCTTAGTGATGAATTCTCTCACCTCAGACCAGATCAGAGACAGGGACTGTTGCATGAAGGAACAGGACCTCGTGTTATATCTGCCCATGTAGAAATCATATTTGATAATTCTGATGGAAGATTACCGGTAAAAATCATTAGTAGTTTGTCACTAGTTTAAATATATATATATATATATATATATATATATGTATGTGTATATATATGTATATATATATATATATATATATATATATATATGTATGTGTATATAGATATGTATAAAATATTTGAATATGCATATATTTAATATTTTAGATTTTGTCGATATGTTCATAATATTTTAATAATATATATATAATTTTGTCTTTTATTCAGATCGATAAAGATGAAGTTTATTTAAGGAGAGTAATCGGCTCCAAGAAGGACCAATATTTTCTCAACAAAAAGATTGTAACAAGGAATGATGTAATGAATTTATTAGAGTCGGCAGGATTTTCTAGGTCTAATCCATATTATATTGTAAAGCAAGGAAAGGTTTGTTAACGTAGCATATTTATATTTATCTGTAGTATAATATAATTGTTTTTGCAGATAAACCAAATGGCAACAGCACCAGATTCGCACAGATTGAAATTATTAAGAGAGGTAGCGGGTACTAGAGTATATGATGATAGAAGAGAAGAATCAAAATCTATTTTGAAAGAAACAGAAGGAAAACTAGAAAAAATCGAGGATTTTCTGCGAACAATAGGTAATTATAAACATCAAATAAAGAATTGTTTAAAAAATAAATAAATAAAGTAAAATGAATAAATAATTATTTTATATTGTAGAAGAGCGTTTGCAAACACTTGAGGAAGAAAAGGAGGAACTGAAAGAATATCAACGTTGGGATAAACAACGTCGTTGTTTAGAATATACTATCCACGAACGTGAACTTAAAGAAAATAAAAGAAAATTAGAAGAGCTCGAGGAGTCTAGAGCGAATAGTGGAGCCGAGCAGGCAAGATTAGGTGCCGAAGCTAAAACAGCACAAGAAATGGTACGTGCTGCTACGAAGAGGCTAAAGGAAGCCAAAAAGGAAGTGCAAACTGCCAAAGAAGAAAGAGACACTCTTAGGTAACACATATACTAAAAATTGCATATAAAAATACAGCAGAGAAATATTTGTAATAAAATATTTGTAAAATACAGTGCAGAACAACAGCAATTGCTGAAAGAAAAGAACAAGTTAACTTTTACTATTAACGACTTGCTAGAGGAAGTAAAAGGTGATAATGACAGCAAGAAACGAGCTCAACAAGAGTTGGAAAAGTTGAAGTCTAATATCGCTGCTCGAGAAACCGAGCTAAAGTCTCTTAAGCCAGAGGTAAAAAAATATTTAGATATTTAATATATTCAAATATATATTTAAAATTATGTGTATTTGTTTAAAATACTGAAATGTGTGGAAAAACATTTTTCTTTACAGTATGAACGAATGAAACGTGTTGAAGAGGAGTGTACACGAGAATTACAGTTAAAAGAGCAGAAACGTAAAGAATTATATGCTAAACAAGGTCGTGGTAGTCAGTTTACCACTAAGGTAAAAATAAAAAAAATTGTGACTCCATAGTAATTCAAGTTGTATTTTTGTTTTTATATTTAAATTCCGATATAATAGTTTAAAGATTTATTTACATTGGTAGGATGAAAGAGATAAGTGGATACAAAATGAGCTTAAGCAGCTTACGAAACAGATAAAGGATAAAGAAGAGCATCAAAAAAAAATTAGCGAAGATTTAAAACGTGATGCAGAGAAACAGATTGCTTTGGAGAAAAAAATAGGAGATCATACACGCGAGATGGAACAACAACGTGCGTCAATAGACGATCATAACAAGCAATATTATGAGCTTACAAAATCGAAAGATCAGTGTCAAGCAACTCGAAAAGAACAGTATGTTTAATTTATTAAATTAATAAACGCGTTAGAAATCTTAGAACTTTACAAACTAAATATGTCGAATTGCAGGTATCGGCAGGAGAGTGTATTGCAATTAAATTTATCTGGTCTAAAGGAGGATTTAGCGAAAGCAGATCAAAGTCTAAGATCCATGGCTGGCAAACCTATTTTGAATGGCAGGGATAGCGTACGCAAAGTACTAGACACTTTTCGGTAAGATTAATTTTTTTTATAATGTAGGTACATTATATGCACAATTTTTTGAAGAGATAAATCTATGATGATGATATATGTATGAAATTTAATATCTTTGTAGTGGACGAAAAGATATGGTTAATGAAGTGAGCAGCTACTATGGGCCTGTAATTGAAAATTTCAACTGTGACAAGAGCGTCTATATGGCAGTTGAAGTAACCGCCGGGAATAGATTGTTTCATCACATTGTGGAGACCGACAAGTTTGGTACAAAAATTTTAAAAGAAATGAACAATCAACGGTTACCGGGAGAAGTAACTTTTATGCCACTGAATAGACTTCACGTAAAGGATATTGATTATCCGCAGACCTCTGATGCTATACCCATGATATCCAAATTGAATTATGATCCCAAATTTGATAAAGCGTTAAGGTAAAAGGATATAAAATAAAAATTATTAAATAAGAATTGTTTTCTTTTCTTGCCTTATTTCTTTGTAATATATAAAAGTTTTTTATATGTTATTATCGTACATTATATCATATTATATTTTTGTTAAATATAGATATATATTTGGAAAGACTTTGATCTGTCGTAATCTGGAAGCAGCAACGACTTTGGCGCGGGATTCTGGCTTAGATTGTGTTACGTTAGAAGGAGATCAAGTTTCATCCAAAGGCTCCTTAACTGGCGGATATTTCAATACACTCAGGTCTCGGCTTGAGATACAAAAAACTAGATCGGAATTAATGTCACAAATTTCTACTCTTGAAACCCAATTAACGACGCTTAAGGAAGAAATCAGAAAGGCGGATCAAAATATTAGTTCTTACGTTAGCGAAATGCAGAGAACTGAAACTAAAAATAGTAAAGCTAAGTAAGTAATTAGATGATATTTTTAATCTAGGATTATAATTAATATTAATTTCAAAAATTATACAGGGTATCCCAAAATAATCGCCAAATATTTCATGGGCAGGTAGAGCAGACTAAACTGAATTGAAAAGTCATCTACCATTTTGCAATTTTCGCAATAGTTAACAAAATATTAATTAGTAAAAATTGTCGAAAATTGGTCTTCAATAATTTTTTACTCAAATACTATCAACTTTACAGAAAACTGCAAGAGACAAAAATTGTATTTGATATATATGTATATTTATATTTAGTAATATGTAAATATAATTTTACATTTTTTTAGTATATATGTATTTTATATTTAGTAATTATAATATCGCGAAAATTGTAAAATGATAAAGGACTTTTTGACTTAGTTTAGTTCGCTCTACCTGTCCATGAAATATTTGGCGATTATTTTGGGACACCCTGTATACATATACATATATTAGGGTGGGCCAAAAAAAATTTTTTTGAAAATCGATTAGCAAACCCTCCAAAAGTTAGCTGTGGACCTCAATATGAGGAGATTTGAGTAAAATTTCATCGAAATCAATTAATATCTTCAGATTGCCCTTCAACTTTGAAATTAATATTTATGTATTTCTTGGATACATGTGTCAAAATTCGAAAAAATATTTAAATTTCAATACAATTTGGTACTACTTGTTCTTTTTTGGTTGCTGAATACGAATTCGAGGTCAGAAGTACACATTTCAAAATGGCGTATTCAATACAGGGTGAGTAAAAAGTCCCGGACTGGTGAAATATCTCGAAAACTAAGCATTTCCGAAAGAAATCTCTCCTACAAAAGTTGGTTTTAAATGATCTATTCACTGATCTGATCAGTCTGACCTTGGGTGGCATTGCCAAGATCAGGTTAAGGTCATATTGATTTTTTTAAATGGCACATCCTATTTTTTATTCCACAATCTAATAGCCAATATCGAGAGCTTTCCAAAACATTATAATAAAGTTATTTTTTATTGAGTATACTTTTCGAATTATTAAAAATTTATTTATGTAAAAATAAAAATAAGAGGTACAACCTCCAATGGCCTTGATCTTGATCCAGGACATGATCTTGAATAATATTCTCAAGAGGTTTTAACCGTCGAGCACCTTGCGTAATGCTAATGCCGGCGATACTATAACTTTCGAGCCTTATAACTCGAAAAGTACTCAATAAAAAATAACATTATTATAATGTTTTGGAAAGCTCTCGACATCGGTTATTAGATTCTATTATCAAAAATAGGATGTGCCATTTAAAAAAAATCTATGTGATCTTGACCTGATCTTGGCGACGTCACCCAAGGTCAGACTGATCAGATCAGTGAATAGATTATTTAAATCCCTACAACTTTTGTAGGAAATATTTCTTTCGAAAATGCTTAATTTTCGAGATATTTCACCGGTCTGGCACTTTTTACTCATCCTGTCGTATGTCGTCATATTGGATCCGCTATTTTGAAATGTGTACTTCTGACCTCGAATTCGTATTCAGTGACCAAAAAAAGTAGTATCAAATTGCATTAAAATTTAAATATTTTTTCGAATTTTAACACATGTATCCAAGAAATGCATAAATACTAATTTAAAAGTCGAGAGACAACCTGAAGATATTAATCGGATTTCGATGAAATTTTACCCAAATCATATTGAGGTCCATAGCTAACTTTTAAAGGGTATTGCTAAGCGATTTTCAAAAAAATTTTTTTCAGCCCACCCTAATATATACGGGATGTCTGGAAATGTCCAAACTTCGGGAGCGTATAGGGGATCGATAAACTAAGAAAAAAATGTCCTGTAGAGATATGCTCGTTTTTACTTCGTTTTAGAGAAAATCGCAAAAAATGGTCCTACTAGAAAAGAACAAAAAAAAATTTTTTTCACCTGAAAACGGAATTATTATTGTCGTTTTCGTGTATTTTAGCGATAATATTGTAGAGGCAGTGCAAGAACGAAGCAACTACGTTTAGTCTTTTTTGCGATTTTCTTCAAAACGAAGCAAAAACGAGCATATCTCTATAAGACTTTTTTTCGTAATTTATTAATCTTAGCGATAATACTGTAGAGACACGCTCCCGAAGTTTTGACATTTAAATTCTAGACACCCTGTACGTGCCGTTTAAATATTTATATTTAATTATTGGAAATAAGTGTTACAATTTTTTTATTGTTGATTTTAATTATGAGAATTAATTAGCAGTTCATTATTAACTTGACAGAGATATATACGACAAAATGAAAGCAGAAATACGTCTTATGAAGGAAGAATTAAGTGCTATAGAAAGGTATCGGACGCCAAAAGAAAAAAGTCTTGCACAATGTACTTCAAGTTTGGAAGCTATGCGTGCGACTAAAGATGGCCTGGAGAGTGAATTACATCAAGAACTTATGGCACAGTTATCCGTTGCGGATCAGCATCAGGTGAGCGTAAACAAATTTTTAATTACAGTTGAATTAAGAATATGATATTTCTTTTTTCTTTTTTCTACTTTAAATTAAAGATTGAAACTCTATTAGTATTGATTTTGGTAGGTCGATACTTTAAATGATGATATCAGACGTTTAACAAAGGAAAACAAAGAAGCGTTCGCAAAACGAATGCAATTAGAAGCAGAGAAGAATAAGTTAGAGAACTTATTAACGAACAACTTAGTGAGGAGGAAGGACGAGCTAGTTCAAGCTTTACAAGAGATATCGGTCGAAGATCGACAGCGTCAGCTTGATTCATCAAAGATCCAGTTAGCGGATATCGAAAAGAGATTAGTGAAGGTAAACGAGGACTTCAAAGCACAAAATGAAAAAGTAACCAATGCCATGAAGAAAGTAAGTATTTAAGAACACAATGACCATTTTTATTGTACATGTTTAACCCTTACCCGTATCATGTACAATTTGATGCTTCATCCATACTATTAAGGATCACTAGAATCTCTTCGTTTTTTCACCTCTTCAAAATAATTCAAAAAATCTCTAAAAATTCACCAACATACTTTCAATTTTCTAGAATAAATATTGACTCTTTATTTTGGAAAATAATAAAATGTAATATAATTTATAATTACCGCAAGACTCAAAGAAACTTGCACGAACAGGAATCACTCAGTCATTAGTTACCCATATTGATACGGTAAGAGTTAAATTAATATAATCTTTAATCTCCCTATTTTGTCATATGTTTAGCAAAAATCGGAGTCTGCGGAAGTTGAGAAATGGAAATTAAAAGAAAAAGAAGCGCAAGAGAAGATTGAAGCGGATGCGAAAGACTTGGAAAAATTAGCAAGCAAGTTAAATATCCTGCAACAGAAAATAGTAGAGTGTACACAAAAAATTACTGAACTTGGCGCATTGCCTAGTCACGAAGCTTATTCTAAGTTTAGTACAATGTCCACGAAACAGCTTTTTAAGGAAATGGAAAAGGCAAATAATCATTTAAAAAAATATAGGTGTGTACTTTTTCTATTTAAATATAATAAATCGGAAAAAATTATTAATATATATATATATGTAATTATTGACCTATTATATTTATTAAATTAAAGATTGTGTTAGCAATTTATTATATTTACATTTTACATATTTCTAGCCATGTGAATAAAAAAGCTTTGGATCAGTTTATGTCCTTCAGCGATCAGAAAGAAAGATTAGTGAAACGGAAAGAAGAACTGGATCGAGGCGACGAGAAAATAAAAGAACTCATGTCAGTACTTGAACAGCGCAAATGTGAAGCGATACAATTTACATTTAAGCAGGTATGTCTATATATATAGTGTATATATAGTGTATTGTTTAAAATAATGGAGGATTAATGTTTTAAAAATCTGTCATGATAATCTATTTTAAATTTCATGTGACAATATTTTTTTCTTTTTTTAAGGTGAGCAAGTATTTCAGTGAGGTATTCAAAAAGCTTGTACCTTCGGGCCATGCACAATTGGTTATGAAGACTGCGGACGGCGATGAAGGGGATGATGGAACAGCGGAGCCATCAGATTCTGATAGATTTATAGGCGTAGGTAAGAAGAAATAGATTTTTAACGACAATAATGAATATCGCCATATACAACGGGCGATTGAGAGCTGAAGAAAGATGCAATTATTAAGTGCGTGTAAAAAATATATTTAAAAACCCTTACATCAAATTCGCAAAAAATTTAGTAAATTTCAAATTCGTACGTTTCGGCTTTATTCAAGCCATCATCAGCGATGTTAGACAAAAAAAAATGTGATCATTACTCGCATCTTATACCCGTATTCATGGTCCTTCCTTGAGGGATGAGGATTCCTTGTTCCTCATTTCATGTTTCATAAACCTTCCTTAACCAAACAAGGAGCCTTATTAGTTTCCTTTTCTCAAGGGAGGTTACGAGTTTCCTCCGAGGAGGAGATGCAGCCTTCATAACCAAGCAAACCTCCAAATTTAATTCGTCACACTAGTCTTTTTTACTTTCGGTAGCTTTTAATTTAGATCTGTCGATAATTATTTTCGATAGCTTTTTTTCGGAAATAAACTGCACCGAAAGTATTTTCTCCTTTGTATAATAAGCATTATGGCGAATTCGATTGGAAGCACTGATGCATATTAAAGCCGTTGTATACTGATTTAATTTGAGTATAAAAATAAAATGCAAATATTTCGAATTATAAAATACATGATAAATTACAAATTAACAAAAAACTAATAAATTTTTACAGACTCCTTTAATTAAAACAATTAATAAAACTGTAAAATATGTATTACAGGCAGCAAGAGTCGACGCTGGTTATCCAATTAGCGCAATTTTTCTTAATGCTAAAAATATAAACCTTAACTTTGAACGTTTCCATTCATGGTTTGAGTCTTCATCAGCAATCTTTCACCCTAGCGCAACAATTGGAGTATTGCATGACAAAATCATATCTCCAACGTTTTTCCTCTCAAAAATTGAACCATTTACTGTTGTGAGGTAAGTCACATACTCACAAAATTAGAAAGCTGAGTGGCAATGAGAACTCAAGCTCACACAGTTGACGCTTCTACACTGAACAATGAATCTCTCTTATGTAACATTTTGTAACTCGTTAATATGTTATAAATTATCGTCAAATTTTAAAAAATAACTGCGAGAACAATATGTGTCTTGTCATTTCGACAGTCGGTTAAATAAGGTAAACAACAGTAAACGGTTAAATTTTTAAGAGCAAAAACGTTGGAGATATCGTTTTGTCATGCAATACTCCAATTGTTGCGCTAGGGTGAAAGATTGCTGATGAAGACTCAAACCATGAATGGAAACGTTCAAAGTTAAGGTTTATATTTTTAGCATTAAGAAAAATTGCGCTAATTGGATAACCAGCGACAACTCCTATTGCCTGTAATACATATTTTATAGTTTTATTAATTGTTATAAAATACATATTTTACCTAACAGTACAATAAAATGTATTGAGTATTTCATAATTTAATCGATTTCTGTGTTTATTTATAAATATAAATTTACGTTATTTTGTATGTGGCGGTTTCAGTGCGCAATCAAATTCGCTATTAGTTTTATTTTTGTCCATTATTGTTGCAAAATGCTTAATCACGACCTTATTTAATCAACAATGTCTTTATAACTTTTATTATTCGTAATTCACGATATTAAGTATGCATATACTATATGTATATTATGACATGCTATCCTCAGTAGGTTACTAAAATCCCTAAAATATTCCTTCCTTCGGGAAGACAGACTTGAGATTCGTTTATGAAACAAGGAAGCCTTGGAGAATCGAGGAATCTTTCATGGAGACTTCCTCCATCCTTAAAATAAGGAAGGACTATGAATACGGGTGTTAAGACGATCCAAGATGCTTCTCAAAATTTGGATTGAAAGGGCTCTTTCGGCTGCTCTCTTGGATCGTCTAAGATGCGAGTAATGATCACATTTTTTTTGTCTAAACATCGCTGATGATGGCTTGAATGAAGCCGAAACATACGAATTTGAAATTTACTATATCTCTTGCGAATTTAATGTAAGGGTTTTTTAATATATTTTTTACACGCACTTACTAACTGCGTCTTTCTTCAGCTCTCAATCGCCCGTTATATATGGTGATATTCATTATTATTGTTAATATCTCGAGAGCTCAATCTGTATTTAATTTATTATTGAAATAGATTTTTACACTTATTTGAGATATATTGTGTATTATATATAATAAGAAAGATTTTTATTTGATAATTTTCTTAATTTTTTCTTCAAGTTAACTATATTTCACATTTATGTGATATGTACTTACTTTATTTATGGATTTAAAAAAAACTTATATTTATTATTTCTAGGTATAAAGGTGTCATTCACAGGACATAGAGGCGAAATGCGAGAGATGAATCAATTATCTGGTGGACAAAAATCACTCGTAGCGTTGGCCCTGATATTCGCGATACAAAAATGCGATCCTGCACCGTTTTACTTGTTCGACGAAATCGATCAGGCACTAGATGCACAACACAGAAAGGCAGTAGCAGATATGATCCACGAGCTTAGTTCTGATGCTCAGTTCATCACCACAACATTCAGGTGACGTAATGCAATCAGCAGCCTACAAGATTTTGAGATTGATTCAAAATGACATGATTGTTATGAATATGAAATTTCTTGATTATTGACTCGGATAAATAAATCAATATGTGTTTCAATGCCAAATCGAGTCCAAACACTAGGTATAATTGTGTATCAAATTCTTTATTGTATTAGAATATACGTTTCGATCCTTGTATCGGATCCTTATCAATATTTCTTAGTTACTAAGTTACATCAATGTGCTCCCTAGAACACTACATTATTGTATGTTATTTACCAGTACTAGCTTCATTATAAATACAGATATAAATTAAAAATTGAGATTAACTTACATGATATAATGTTAGTATGTGCGAAAATCACGTTACTCGTCATGTCTATCGTCAACAAGCAAATGCCCTCGTTTACAACTTGCCAATTATTTTATCTTCAGTATACATATAATTCGCATGACCGTCAATTATAAATAACAAAAAGATTGAAACCTAAACTTTAGCCAATAAACACTCATATGCTGAGTTCAAATTCTCCGTGTCAGTTTGTAAATTCAAGCTATTTTCTTGTCTACGTATATGTATCATTTCAGACGTGAGTGTTTTGTTTAAGATTATCTCTTCATCAAGGATTTCTATATCATCCCCTTTTTATTTCATGCGAATAGTCCAATCTATGTTCCGTGATTACAGATTTCTGTTGTGTGTTCCAATTTATATGATTTTTATGTTCAGAGAAATTCTAGTTTTTAAAATTCTACCCATTTGGCCAACGTACGTAGCATTGCAATCCCCACAAGATCTTATATACCACATTACTATGTAACATTTTATTAATTTTGTCCTTTTGTACTTTAATAATGCCATTTAACTTATTCATGTCTTTGTAAGCTACTTTAATGTTCTTGTATTTGTTGAATTGATTTTTTATTTTATTAGCTGTACTCGAAATAAATGGCATCGTGAAGTAATTAGTATTTCTATCATTCACGCTGTCATTCATTTGTTCGTCATCATTATTGTTATTGCTATGATTACATTTGTCCAATTTCTTATATATTCTTTTTCTCATTGTATTAATAATTAGCTGTAATGGATATCCGTTCAAAAGTAAAATTTTTATAATCTTATCTAAATTATTTTTGTGAAAATTAGGATGATAACAGTAATACTCTATCGATTAAATTATAAATTACGCCTATTTTATGTACTAAAGGATGTTGTGAGAAGTAATTAAGATATCTTCCCGATGAAGTTGGTTTTTGGTACCAATCATAAATAATTTTATTATTATTATTTTTTATCAAAGTTACGTCCAGAAAATTTAGTTTATCTTTGCCCTCCTCTAACGTGAACTGCAAACGATTGTGGTAATTATTAAATTCATTTAAAATATTCTGTATGTTATTCTGGTTGGTCGCTAGTGCTATGTCGTTAACATAACTCATATAAAAACTGGATTTTAACGTCAAACTATTAAGACATTTATATTCCAAGTCTTGCAATACTATATTAGCTATGATAGGTGATAGCGGAGAGCCCATTGGAATGCCAAATGTTTGTCTATAGAAAGTGTTATTAAACGTAAAATAAGTAGAATCCAAAACTAATTGTATAGCTATAATGAATTCATTTTTGTTTAGGATCGCCTTCTTTTTTATTTCATCCCATCTATTATTAAGCACCGTAATAGCTAAATTAACTGGAATATTAGTATATAAAGACACCACGTCCAAAGAGAATAACTGGTCATCATTCTTAATTTTTAATTGTTGAATGTTTTTTTATGATTTGGAAACTATTATTAACTATGTAATCATTTTTTGTCAAACTCTCCTGGAGAATGCTATGCAAATACGTGGCCAAATTGTGTAACGGACTGCCTATAGAAGAGATAATTATATGTAGAGGATTATTAAATTTATGTATTTTCGGAACCCCGTATGCTCTTGGTAATATCAGATTCGAACTGTTCAGCCATTTATATTTGCTATCACTAATATAATGTTTAGTTATATTTTAAGTATAGCTAATAAAATAAAAAATCAATTCAACAAATACAAGAACATTAAAGTAGCTCACAAAGACATGAATAAGTTAAATGGCATTATTAAAGTACAAAAGGACAAAATTAATAAAATGTTACATAGTAATGTGGTATATAAGATCTTGTGGGGATTGCAATGCTACGTACGTTGGCCAAATGGGTAGAATTTTAAAAACTAGAATTTCTCTGAACATAAAAATCATATAAATTGGAACACACAACAGAAATCTGTAATCACGGAACATAGATTGGACTATTCGCATGAAATAAAAAGGGGATGATATAGAAATCCTTGATGAAGAGATAATCTTAAACAAAACACTCACGTCTGAAATGATACATATACGTAGACAAGAAAATAGCTTGAATTTACAAACTGACACGGAGAATTTGAACTCAGCATATGAGTGTTTATTGGCTAAAGTTTAGGTTTCAATCTTTTTGTTATTTATAATTGACGGTCATGCGAATTATATGTATACTGAAGATAAAATAATTGGCAAGTTGTAAACGAGGGCATTTGCTTGTTGACGATAGACATGACGAGTAACGTGATTTTCGCACATACTAACATTATATCATGTAAGTTAATCTCAATTTTTAATTTATATCTGTATTTATAATGAAGCTAGTACTGGTAAATAACATACAATAATGTAGTGTTCTAGGGAGCACATTGATGTAACTTAGTAACTAAGAAATATTGATAAGGATCCGATACAAGGATCGAAACGTATATTCTAATACAATAAAGAATTTGATACACAATTATACCTAGTGTTTGGACTCGATTTGGCATTGAAACACATATTGATGATTGTTATGTTAATAGGACAATGTAAAAAATAAAGATGTGTTTGTTTCGCAGACCGGAATTACTGCATCATGCAAACAAATTCTATGGAGTGAAGTTCAGAAATAAGGTTTCGCATGTCGAATGCGTGACGCGGGAAGAAGCGGCTGATTTCGTCGAGGACGATACAACACACGGTTAAAATATTCATAATTTACAATCAAGTTTTTTTGCGTAATTTTAGGAAATAACACACGTACAAATGGATCAACTTTGTTATAATTTCCGTTGAGGTTTTCTTCATATTGACAGGTTTTTTGAGATACTTTACGTATGAAATCACATAAAGAGAAAAAATAATTTTTTGTGTATATTCGGATTCTTCGCATAGATCATTGTAATGATAGTCATGTTACATATGACGAATATTAATAGAAAACGCAAGTTTTGGTAATTTAATATTTTATTTGTAACAGATTACATGTTATGGAAACATTGCAAAATATGATAATTGAAATTTGGTATATATATATGAACTGTTTTTTATATTATAAACTTTATAAAATAAAATGACTATGATAAACACGGTAATATCAGTTTATGAAATTTCAGAACAATTGTTCCATTATAATCAGGAGTTTTTTTAAGTGGACATAAAAAAGGTGTTGATAAGGTATTAATAAATAATATCCAAAAAGAGAATTCGGTTTAAAAAGATATTTATTTGAAGTATTCCTCTTATTGGTTGTCGGCCTTAACCTGACTTCGTATTCATTATATTATGAATTTTAATACTAAAAGCACTAATTAAACGGTAAAAGAGATGTTAGTGTGTGCATCATATACAGAAATAATGTTATGAAATTTTTAGTTTTATTAGCTTAAAGGATTAATATATTCTATAGTTTTAGATTATTTTTATCTAAAACATATAATAACTATCAATTTCCAAAGTGACGATATTCACGGTCTAGCCATCGGAGTAGTTTTGTTAAATGTAAATATTTTAGAGTTCACAGCTTCAGAATTACACTTCATTTCTGCACAAAGAGCCTCACTATATGTATATATGTGTATTGGTATACACATAATCACCATAACGAGTCTTGCAATGCAAAGTCATCGATGACACTAAAGGCCACTGCGTTTGCATGAAAGAATCATGTGTACAATGTAACTTTTATTCTAAATGGCTTTTTAAACACAGATTTTAAGAGCAATATGACGATAAGTATCCCATATGGCTAATATATCTGCAATACATGAATGCGAATTTCCTTAATATTAAAGGAATTTGTGACAGCAGAGCAATATGACGATAAGTATCCCATATGACTAATATATCTGCAATACACGAATGCGAATTTCCTTATAATATTAAAGGAACTTGCGATAGCAATGTTATTCTTCTTTTATTACAAGTATGTTGCATGTGGTTCTTTACATCTTCAATGAATAGCAATGAGACCAGATTCCAGAAGTTTTTGTAATTTTGCAGCTATATCAGGATTCTTCAAATGGCTGTGCAAAAAAAAAGGATTTATTAAAATTTCCAACAGGGAAATGGATACAAATAAGTACATTAAAAAAAAATTTTAATATTCTTTTGAATATCCTTAGATTTTCAAAGAATATTCAACATATAATGTAATAATAGAAAATAAAGTAATACAGGGTTGCCACAGAAAATGAATTTTAAAATTCCCTAATTTTTTCCAGCTTTCCAGATAAAAATAAAAAATTTTCTAATACGTAAATTTTAACACATTTAGAATCAAGGATTATAAGAAAGCTGGTCTATATTATTAAAAACAACGCAAAAAACATAATTAAATTTTGGGTACAAATTCAAAAAATACTAAATATAAACTAAATATAAATAACAATATTGGAATTCCCGCAATAAACTATTAGGTATACAACTTTGCTTCCGCCGTTTTCCTATAGATGGCTTTAGCGGTAAGTGGTGGTCGAAATAAATAGATCATAGATGTCAATAAACTTGGGCATCTGTCAACATAACCCCATAGAAATATTAGTCGATTTGTGTCTGCATTATAAAGTTATTCTCGATTGAAAATGTCAGTTTACGAGCCAAATTCTCGTCATTTGTGAGGTTTTAATTTTCTGCTTCAATATGAAGAAATCTGTGGCTTAGGCTCATCGAATGCTCTCAAATACTTATGGTGAGGCCACTATTAGTGAAAAAACGTGTCGTGAGTGGTTTCAACGCTTCAAGAACGGTGATTTTGACGTCGAAGACCGGCATAGCGGTGGAAGAGAGAAGGTTTTCGAAGAATTGGAGGCATTACTTGATCAAGACTCGTGTCAAAATCAAGAAGAATTGGCACGATCATTGGGAGCGACTCAACAAGCCATTTCAAAACGCCTCAAAACCATGGGAATGATTCAGAAGCAAGGAAATTGGGTGCCGTACGAGTTGAAGCCGAGAGATGTTGAACGGCGTTTGTTTGCTTGTGAACAGTAGAGATCCTATAATCAGATATTGCTTTCTTTCTCGTATTACGCATGCGCAGAAAGCGTGAAGAAAGCTGTCACAAAATAGGTTACGTATTGTGACAAATAAATATTCTATGATAAATAAATATAAATTATCTTTTTATGTATATTATGAAACTTTATGTCCACCTTGTTAAAAATCACTCTGAAGTTTTAATAATTTTCTTTATCCGGGATCTCGGAACAGTTCCTAACCTCTTTGAGACAAAGCTTTACTCGTCTGGGAGTCGATTGTGTATCTTGAAATGAGGTGAAAATTACAAAAATGAGCAAATTCACTATGTACTGATCAATTAAATTATAAATATTCTAATGAATTTGCTCATTTTTGTCCCCTGATTAGAGCTATCTGTCTCTTTCTATTCTTCGAACTCGTTTTCCGACAATGTACGAAGCTATCCGAAGAATACCGAATGGACAGAAGTAGAGAACCAATCAGAAGTTGGGACCGCATTGGCCAAACTCTGATTATAGGATCTCTAGTGAACAGCTGCTTGAGAGGCAAAGACTGCATCTCATTGTGACTGGGGACGAAAAATGGGTTTATTACGATAACCCCAAGCGCAGAAAATCATGGGGAGTTCCCGGCCATGCTTCCACGTCGACGGCCAAACCGAATATTCACGGCTCCAAGGTCATGCTCTGTATTTGGTATTACCAGCTCGGCGTAGTGTATTATGAGCTGTTAAAACCGACTGAAACAATCACAGGCGATCGGTATCGAACGCAAATGATGCATTTGAGCCGAGCATTGAAAGACAAACGGCCGCAATACAACGAGAGACGATAAAGTGATTTTGCAGCATGACTATGCTCGACCCCATGTTACGAAAGTGATCAAGACATATTTGGAAACGTTGAAATGGGAAGTCCTACCCCACCCGCCGTATTCTCCAAACGTTGCTCGCTCTGACTATCACTTGTTTCGATCAATGGCACACGGCCTGGCTGACCAGCACTTGCGGTCTTATAAAGAAGTAAAAAATTGGATCAATTCGTGGATCGCCTCAAAAGATGAGTTTTTTCGACGCGGGATTCGTACGCTGCCCGAAAGATAGGAGAAAGTAGTAGCCAGCAATGGACAATATTTTGAATCATAAATGTATAACCAGTTTTTTACAATAAAACCTCGAATTTCGGAAAAAAACGGCAGAAGCAAAGTTGTACACCTAATATAAAATAACTAAGAACAAATGGACAACTGGAAATTGGCACAGTGATCGGTGCGTAATTCGCTTTGTGAAAAAGCTTTATCTTACGTTAATAAAAATAACTTGTACATGTTTCAGCTAGTCTTCTTCAGCAATAATACGAGAATAGGTGGTGATCCATACATTGGTAGACGAAACATACGATGTTACAAATATTGAATTAATTCGGTCGTGATCATTGTATGGTAACCCTTACTCCATTACGAGAGTCGTTCTCACCAGTTGCAAGGCTGGATGATAGTAATGACTAAAATCTTTAAAAATTAATAACTGTATAAAGCTCTAGGTGAGAATTATAATCAATGTAAACAAGACTTACTTCATTGTCTTGTTTACATTGATTATAATTCTCACCTACAGCTTTATACAGTTAGTAATTTTTAAAGATTTTAGTCGTTATCATCCAGCCATGCAACTGGTGAGAACGACTCTCGTAATAGAGTAAGGGTTACTACACAATAATCACAACCTAATTAATTCAATATTTGTAACATCGTATGTTTCGTCTACCAATGTATGGATCACCACCTATTATCGTATTATTGCTGAAGAAGACTAGCCGAAACATGTAAAAGTTATTTTTATTAATGTAAGATAAAGCTTTTTCAAAGCGAATTACGCACCGATCACTGTGCCAATTCCCAGTTGGCCATTTGTTCTTAGTTATTGAATATAAATTATAATTATTTTATTAAAATCGTTTAAAGTGCGCGAGTTTTGAACGTATTTGACTATATCAAATATAATAAAAAAAAAATTATAACAATTATTTGGAATAGGAGCAGTTTAAGAAAATTGTGAGCAAATTTCAAAACTCCAGACTTTTTTTACATTTTCCCCTAACTTTTCCCAGTTTTCCAAGTCTGTGGCAACCCTGTAATAGTAGCTGTTGGATGACGAGTGGCTCTGTGTGAGAATAATTAATTTATAGACCTGAACTTCTTATACAGTTCATCTTTTCTCTTTTTCTCTCCAACGTGGAGAGAAAAGGAAGAAAGATGAACTGTGCAAGAACTTTAGCTAAAAAGAATCTTATATTCAGCGAGTTTCAAAACTCCCAAAGTTTGATTCCTATTATTCTATATATTGTTGTCAGATTATAATGGACTTTCTACAACAAGCCATTATCTAAGTTTTAAGTCTTATAAGTCGTAAACAATTATAGTTGATTATTCTTCTCACATTCGACATTAGTCAATTTCTTATGGTTCAAGACTTAATTAGGTAATGGCTTATTGTAGAAAGTCCATAAAAGATTGATTTGAAGAACTAAAAATTTGAACAAAGGAGTATAAAGAGTAACTGTTAACATCCATTTTGGGAACAATAAATTGATACGTAACATCTCTCTTAAAAAAGCAAAAATAATTTATCGACAAGATCCTCTTTAAAATGAGCAATTGAAAAACATTTGCGTATGTTAATGAAACTATGCGATTTACTACGAGGTACCTTTGTGTCTTGATACATGCGAACATTTCGTAAACATTCAGGGCGAGAAGCAACCTAATACTAAACCGCTTCTGTAGGATATTAATATACAGAATGTTAATACATTACTTACTCTTGTAAAGCTCTTGGATCACTCTGCATTTGTTCCAAGATCAATCTCATGGCTGGATCTCGCAATATACT